AATAGCCTATATTGTGTCATTAAGATTTCCTATTGTTTCTTCAAATTCGACGATATTTGCAGGTAATATGTGAATTCAGAGGTAAAAGTTTCCTTAAAAATTTAGTATTCCTATTTATTTGTGATTTGGAATTATTTGACTCATACGCAATATTATTATATATATATACCAAATGCTATTTTATTTTATTATATTAAATGTTGTTTAATGGAAAAACACTATTATTTAAAAAAAATAAAATTTGATATGGTATGATCTAATATGATTTATTGTTTAGTCTAACTAATATAAAATTTGTTTAAAAAACTAAGAGCAATCATAGCAATATTGATTCGCTAATTTACAGTCTGTCAGTGCACAAAGAGAACGATTTGTTGAATCAAATAAACGTTTCTTTGGAATAGTCCAAACAAATGATTTGGTTGACACAACAAAAATATTTCTTTGGAACTAAGCCGCAAATAAATATTTTTGTTGCGTCAAACAAAATTTTGTTCGATCAATCAAAAAATTCGTTTGGACTATTCCAAAGAAGTATTTATTTGATTCAATCAAATCGTTCCCTCTCTGTATTTGTTACATATCGAATCAGCATCTATTACATTATTTTCAACGATTATCAATAAGAATGACATGGAAAATATTTTTTGAACATTATAAAGCTGTATATCATTAGAGTTAGTTGGCATTGCTAATTTGATTGTTGAAATCAAGCAACTTAGGCCGCGAATGAACGGATAATCGCGGTATTAGATGAAGATGGAGTATTTGGTTAGAAAATTACATAAGATAAAGAGGCCGCACTTGATTAAGTAATAAATAAAGATCGTCATTAATACAAAAAAATGTTAAAGTTCTTATGATTATTTAAACCAAATTATCGAATTTCTTTAAAAAAATTAAGAGAAATAATTTTCTTTTTTGAACTAAATAAATTACTTAGATAAAGTAGTAAATTATTTAGATTAAATAATAAAATTATTTGTAAAACCAAACAATCGTATTAGTTAAATTTAAAATTGATTTGTTTAAGCTGTAGTATAAGAGATTTGTTTGAATTTTCAAACAATAAATATATTATAATCATTCAAACAATAAATATATTATAATAAGTTAATTAATTAATAAAATTTATTAAATTCAAAGAAACCGTTCTACCAAGGAAACCAAATTTCGACTATGCTTAAGAGGGGAACCTGCTATCTTAGAATATACCCTTTAATTTTAGGCCGAAATTCAAAGTACTTTTCGAATTACAGCTTGAAGATCATGCGTCGAACATTGAATGCAGGCATGAAAATTGTCGAAATTGTTTCTTTTATTGCCGCATATGTCTTTAATGAAGAATATAGCAATATATTGAAGATGATGAATACGTTAGATATTAGAATTGGGTTGCAAGCTCAAAATTTTGTCCACTCGAACGACGAACAACGACTTGAGAAGCAGCGGCGCCGCAACTTAAGCTCAAAAGAAGCTCGAACAGCGTATAAAATGGAATTAACGGTTCAAAACGTATTCTATGAAGAAGCTGAAGGATTATTATATGGATCTGATATCGCAGATTAGCCTGTGACTGCTATAAATAGTATTTTTGTGTTCCGCAAACTTTAAATGTGATTTTCTCAAAACAGTATTTTCTGAGTTTGTGTATACGATAGAAACAACTCTAATAAACCGATTGAACTATTTTTAGGCTTATTTTGTAGCTGATTAGTTCCTCTTCTAGGTGAACTTAAATATTTTTAAAAAACGTTACATTAGACTAATTTTTTTGCAACACAAATTTGAAACTTTTTGATGAAAATCGTAACTTTTCTTTCAAAATCGTTAAAAGTTACCAATTTTTTCTTTTCTTATAAAGTTTTTGGTTCAACTAGAAGGTAATTACATACAATTAACAAAAATAATTATTTCTTTTGCCTCAGATAAAAATTACAACTGTTGCAGTGGAACAACTGCAGCAGTTTGGCATTACTCACTTGCTCCATTTTTTAAACAAATAATTAATATTTTTTATGAAAAAATTATTTTATAGAGGTAAAATATATAATATAAAACATCTCTAAAATTTGAAAGTGATTGGTTTTATAGCTGAGAAAAAAATTTCTAAAAATCATACATTTTTCGACCTCCTAAACCAGGTTCCCCCCTTAAGCCCAAGAATTCGCTAAGAAAAACGCGTGAATTATAATAAGATCCATTTTCCCATTTAGTTTTACCAGGAATCCATTTATTATTCCAATGGAGACACATACGCGTGCTCATTACTATCCGATAGATTTCATTGATACATTTGTTATTGTACGGAATACAGATGTGCATATTTTCATTTAGCGAATGAGCCAAGATCTCGCCCGTGAAATATCGATAATAATACTTCAACAATGATTTTTAATCGTCATTAATTGTCATAAGATCCTTCCTGTTTTGCAGGTACGAAAAGCCGTTCCGAAAGAGGTTCTTCTCCGAAAAACTTTAACCCTTTAGTTGCAAATTCACCGATGCATATGTCGGACTACTATATCCGTGACTCTCGCGAACGGCATTGAATATTCTGTGCGACCTAGATACGATCGTAGCTGTGAGCGAAGTGTGTATGTGACGGGTCGAATCGTCATAGGTCAAACACGTCCTTTTATAACCCTCTTCCGAAATCCGTCCCGCTTTCCGGAAACGTGTGCTACTTATTCAACTCGAAAACTCGCGCACAACAAACAACTCCACGGATATTTTATCGTACGACGAAGACGCTGTTTCGTATCGTATCGCATTACTGGACCAAAGTCGTCACCAAGCCGAAAACTTTCGAGTAAGCCGGCGTGACGGCGGTGTTATCAGTTTACATTCTTGTTTGCGTAACATATGGCCAACAATGCGCTAATTTAGAAGTAAATTGCATAACCAAGGAATGATTATTCATATCAAACCAAAAGCGTAACAAATAATTTTTTATTCGGCACTGTTTTTCTCTTATAAAAAGTACAAATAACTAAACGCGAAAGAGCGTTTGAATTGTCGCGTATCTAAATGTCTCTAATACTCTTTTCTTTTCAAGGTATATTAATAATAGCGAACATGTATTGAAAATGGGTTTCCGATAGTTTGTAAGGTGGGCAAATTTTCAAGCAAAATGAAATATATAAAATTATATAAAGCTACATATAATTATATATAAATTATATATAATTAATATATATAATTATATATAATATACACAGCTCATATACAAGGTGGCCACCTAAAGTTACAAGCTAATAACTCTCTAAACATATTTGTCCTATCAAAAAGTTGTTCATAAGAAATTTTCATATATTCGAGGGGCCTTTCTAACGTAAATAAAAATCCACTTCCGTCCTCCCTTGAAGAGGGGCGGGAGGTAACTTCAAAGTTTCAAATAGGACCCCCTATACAATGTTACATATTTGGATTCTAAGGAAAAAACAAAATTTGTCTCAAACATTTCTTTTCAAAAAAATGCTCTTATCAAAAGTTATAAACATTTAAACTTTAATATAGAGTGTATTGAACTTAATGATAAATTAAATAAGACTCATAGTTTTTCTATTTTGTTTTATTTTATTAAATGTTCGAACTGTTGACCATTAACATCTAAACACTTATTAATTCTTTTTACAAAACTTTGCCTAACTTTAAACAACATTTCTGGGGTCACTTTAGTGCAAGCTAAGAGTCCGTTTCCAGATCTAGATTCGAAGAACATTCTTTGTAAAGAACTTATATCTTCTGCATAGTGCTAGACAGCAACACACATATGCTATCCTCTCTTTCTTCCCGGTACAGCCAGCATTCTATTTGCTCAGTTACTTTAAGGCTATATAAATGTACTCTAATACTTATATATTTTGTATAAGGAGATCAAAATTAATTCTTAATGTCTTTCTGTTCATAACCAAGAGTTCTTTTATCTTGCCAAAACGGACAAGATAACAGCTAAAAACTGATTTTAAGACTAACCCAGCAATATATGTTTTTTGCTTAATTATATTTTAAATCGTAAATTAAATTATGTAAAATAAAATAAAAGATAATCTTTGTATATAAGAATATACCGACTGTTTAGTACTTAGATTTCATACAAGGAAAGAACTTTAGCGTTTGAAAATAAATCCTGTCGGCATTACTTTATTTGTTTTATTGCATACTGTAAACAGTCTACAATGATTTTAATATTGGTGAATTATTTTAATTTGTAAAAAAAGTTAGTAAGTTAAAGTTCATGGGTTTTAAAATAACTAGTTTAAATTAAAAGTTAACTTGTTTAGAATTATCTAAGTTAAGTTAGAAGATATTTTAATTTTTCAGTTTAATCTTTGATTAATTAACTAATTATTACTTAACCCTAAATATGTTTGATTATATGTGACCATATGGAAGTAAAATTCATATATAACAGTGTGTAATTATTTTTTCCGAGTTCACAAGAGATATTTAGCAATTGTCATAATTTATAAAGCTTTTATAACATAAGTCTTTTAGATATATTTTACATATTTTATTTTCAAAACAGACGCATGAAATAATTACTAATAAATTATGTTGATTCTTAGAAATCTTTTCCCACGAAATACATATCTTATTTGTCGACACACATTTCTATTAAAAAAATACTTTGTTTATATGTATCCATATTTACTTGTTTAGTGTTTATAAGAAAAAGATTTGAATCAACTGAATAAATGATAATAAGTTATTACGTATTATAGTAATGTCAATTATTTGCATTTTATAAAAATTTCTCAGTATGCAAAGCGGCTTCTCAAAAAAACGACTAAAGAACCACGAGCGAAAAGTTTTCCTATTATGAAACGCGGAAACAATTCTGTTTATTCGCGCAGACTTAAATAGATGGCTGCATCTGAAAGCTGATATTTCTCGATAAAACGTGTTTTCTACCGGCGGAAACCGAATAGCGCGATAGCGCGCGAAATATTAATGCGACTTGTTGAATGAGATCAACCGATGGCCGAAGAACTCACCGAAAACTGGAGCAAGGATGGATGACCCAGTGACCTGCGGCTTTTTGTCTGATCCGTTCCTTCATGAGCGCCTTCTTGCTGCCGAAGAGCTTCATGGCCAGTTTGTTGTCCGTCGGCTGGAACAGGGCCTGAAGCTGATTCTTCAGGAAGCTCTGTTTAACCTCTTGACCCGGCAGACCCGGAAGAGGCTCCTCCTTCGGGGTCCCATAGAGGGACACATCGTCCACTCCGAAGTGGACCTTTCCGCTGCCCTTGTAATTCATCTCGTTGCCTGCAACACAACAATACGAGTTCGTAAGAGGTCAACGCCAATTGATATCGATACATTCGTCAAGTGTGTGATCTGTAACCCCATTTTTTATTGTCACGCAGTAGTATTTGTAAAAAGTATCTTGCATGCTCCAATAGACCCGAATCGTACATTCATTCAAGTAGTAGTCGCGGACGATATCACCCACCGCGACACAAATCGCGAATCGTTTGCGGTCGTAACCACATCTGTAAACTCCCAACATGATAGCGTCGATATGTACGACGTTTAAGGAGATATTCTAGTATGATGGGTCCAAAAATTCGAATTTTCTTTTTTTGCACATTTTTATAGTTTGGAACCTTGAAAATATGTCCATAAAATATTAAGATGAAATTCGTTAAATTAACCGAGCTATAAAGATTTAAAAGACGCAATCTCCATATGACGTGCCGATCGAGATGAATAACGAATTGTTAAATGTCATCCAACCTATTTACAAATATTTAACTACCGATGATTTATTACAGTGATGCCTCAGATCATTTACTCAGAATATAATAACAAAAGTTTAAATTCATTAATTTCATCAATTGCACCAAAACACTTGTATTGTGGAAAGAAGACGGTGGAAGTTGCTACTTTTTTTAGTGTTTGCCTGTTAAATGAAGGATTTAATACAATTGTAAAAATAATGGATGTAATGGGACTAAAAATTGGTCAAAATGCAAAATTCCTCGCGGATAACAGAGCAAACGAAAACGTTAAACGTTCGGAGCAGCGGGCGTCGTACGAGTCGAAAGAAGCAAAAATTGCTAAAAGACAAGAAAAAGCTGATAAACATGAATTCTTTGAAGTTGGGGAAAATCTCTTGTATAGCCCTGGTATAGCTAATTAAAAAAGAGTACATTACTGAATTATTAAAGAGTACATTACTGAAATTACTCATTATCCTTCTCATAAGTACATGAGAATCTTTAAACGCGTTTTTCTCGAAACGACATTTTTCAAATCGGGCTAGTATTTTTCTCGGAAACTACTGGACTGATCAACTTGCAGTTTTACACACATATAGTGCACATATTATAATATTATAATATTAGACTATCTAACTAGAATCCTTTTGATATATTTAAAATTATTATTTTTCCAGACCGCAAAAGTTAGAATTTTTTAGTAAAAATTAAGCTATTATTTTTCAAGCGCCGCCATTTTGTCAATTTTTCTTCAAATTATTTCATTCTAGTTCAGACGATCGCCGTATTCATAAAGAACAAAATAAAAGCAAATTTGTTTATTTCAGATGACAAGAACGGCGGCAATCAATTCGCCCGATGGAAAACGATTTTACGGCGTGACCTGTTTCGTCCACTTATATTTTCTTCAATTTTGAATAAAAAACTTTGACAAAATTTGAGATGTTTCTTTAAAGATGAAGAAATCAAGTCAGTACAAAACGTTAACTCTGTTTAACTATTTGCTTTAAATTAATATCAAAAAATCTCCTTGAAAACAGGCCCTCACACTAGAATAGCCCCTTAATATCGTAGTTCAATATATCTTTATAGCTCGCGAGCCTCATCAACTCGGCAAAACTCTTTACATGCCGTGCTAATAATATATTTCATGATGCTGTTGACAAATTATAAAAACAAAATAACGAGTCGCTCTTATCACTTCATCCAAACACAAACATATGTTATTTATAATATAATGGCGATAACTCTAAATGAGACTTTTTGGTTTATATTTATAGTTTGTCGCACGTCGCAATTTCTATAAAATTAATTCGTATTGTCGACTATACGTGCTTAACAGATTTTTCTTTATCAAGTTATTATGATATTTATGATACATTTTTTATTAACTCTCTCTCATTATAATATATATTCCTCCTTATATATTTGTACTAAATTATATTATGATATATTTGTCCCACATGTTCAATGTGAATTAACCTTCTGATGATCGAACCAAATTTATGGTAATAAATGCGTTGGTTTCGTAACTAACGCAGAATTCATCATAGTTATGGAGAAAAAAGAAAAGAGGTTGAATTAACGGGCGGATAAGCAAACTAAATGCGTTTTGGTTAAATGCAATAGGATTTTTCATTCGTATAAATAAAAACATTTCTAAAAATCAGTGATTTTATTTCTTTCAACCAAAAGGCACTTGGCTTGTTCATTGTCGTTAAATCAACCAATATTTCTTTCCGTGTATATTTCAACTGATATAATCAATCTGTATTATGAAATGCAAATAAGATGTCATGTAAAAAAATTAATTCATAATTTCATATTAGGCCTTATAACAATATAGATCTGTAACGTCTTAATTTCGGGCTACGGATATCTTGTCGGTCGGTCCGACCTTTCTTTGCAGAAGACTGTTGGTATGTGGTCACACACCGATACTATGTATGTGCTTCTTCCTGCTTGTCTATTCAAACGCGGTCTCGACCAGCCTGCGAGGAGCGGTCAGGTGTTTCGATCACGACGGTTTTTCGTGCGGCGCGTGTTTATGTTAACGTAATACCGGCGTTTCATGCTTCGCACTTTTAAAGAGGAAAATATTATATATGCAAAAAATGATTCGGTTGTCATAACCGAATTTCAGTTACGACAACCGAAATTTTCGATTCCTCAGGAATCAACTGAAAAATCGGTTGCTACAAAAAAGAAATTTTGTTAGAAAGTTTCTGTTGTGCCAAACATATATTCGGTCATCCCAACCGAATTGAAATGTTGTGAAAGATACAAGTTTCGTTTGTCTCAACCTATACTTTAGTTCATACTAATGAATGTTTCAGCTATTAGGAATAGATTAATATTTAACAAAATATATTTATATATTCCTAGTTTTTTCATGTCTTATAAGCCACTATACATATCGAAGGTTGTCAAACACACTCCAAGCTTTCGTGAATCCTCCCGCGAAAATTTCGACCCCAAACGGTATATCACCGAGTCACCCCATCCATGCCTGACTCCGTTAAAGTATTGCTTAATCCGACGATCGAACGGCACGCGGCGATTCTCAATGACTCCAACGATGTTCTTACGATTTATGCTTATATAATGTATCCTTATAATGTTCACAGTATATTATAACATACCTAGCAAACACCAAATAATAGTTATATAATTTTTACTTGATGTTTGTTGGATAATTTGCTGATAGATATTGGAACAATGCAACAACATTCGATATGTGATGAATATTAATGTAATGTAATGAATCAATGATAATTACTTTTAAATTTTTAACAGAATGATATAATGATTAATCCAAACAAAAAAAAATAAAAAAATCCAAGAAAATCCAAATTAAATCAAATTACTAAGTTTTGAAAAAAACTTTTAAAAAATACTATTTAAAACAATAGTGTTATTTCATCAAATGACATAGTTTCCTTGAACGAAAGAAAGGTTTTGCGAAAATATGGCTTATCTAACAATACGGATCACTATTCATAGTAGCAACATTCAACTATTTTTTCAACCAAATCTTTTCGGTTTCAGTAACCTTGATGTCGTTTCTTGTTACAATATACTATTCAGTTCGATATCCTCTGTGAGAACAACAGAATAATCATCTGCGATAATCATTTTTTTGAAACGGAAAATTTTAGTTACTTCAATCAAAAGCAATCGTTGATGTGAATAATTCTTCAGTTATTGGAACAGACTTTTTTGTTACTGCAACTAAACTTCGTGTAACAGAAAGTTTCTAGCTGCCACTACAGAATATTTTTTTACGTGACAGTCATTTTGCGTGAAAAAGTCACAAAAATCGAATTTCTCTTTTTTGTTTTAATTAATAGAACTATATGTATAGAATATATTCCCAAAGTTTGGTTTTGAAATTCAAAATCTAAAGGATCGTACAGGACTATTTCTCACACGAAGATACGAGCGGGTGAGGCGAGATCCAATGACTCGCAACAGCTTTGTTCCGAAAAACCCATTTGAAAAAACGAAAAAAAATCTTCCTAAGAAAGATCTATTAGAAGAGTGCTTAAGTAAGCACAAAAAATGCGAATAAAAGTTTTAATAGTACAATTTAGTGATTAGCTCCAAAGCATATACATTCTGGCCTTAAAATCATCGAAATCACCGCCTATATTGTCGCTGGAATATTTAATGAAGACTACTTTGCTGTTTTGAAGATAATTTTGACCAATCGAGTTACCCTTTTACATACATTTAGTTTATTATATTTACTAATCGATAAACTTATAAAATCCATAAAATTATTTATTTAAACAATGTTTTTGCATACATGAAGATGGATTTTTATGAGTAAAAATCAAATTTTTACTTTAAAGACTGCTTTTTTGTCAATTACAAAATTCTTTTTCAATTTTTTTTAGGTTTATCGACAAATTATGTCTATAAAGAGTAAAAAATTGTTCCCTATTTTTGTTTCAGACGAATACAATAGGAGCCAAAGTGCACACAGTTTTACGCCAACTCTGCCGCGACGCTCAACATTTCTTTGACTACATACAATTTATAAACATTTTTTTAACTTAAAAATATTTTTTAATGCTATAATGTACAAGCAAAAATACTACAAAGTTGGAAGATTGGAATAAATAAATTTTTCAAAAAAAATTCACGACAATTCTCTTATTTTTGGCGTTCTATAGTGCTTTCCCTCCTTAAATGCTGTTAGCTAACAGTTTTATTCAATAGCAGCGAATTAAAGGCCGTTCTAGCGATATTGCGAGCGGTATTATGGTCTTTGTTTAGTCGACGTTCGGACAGTCGCAGTCGCATAGCTACGATTGCTATATCCGCTATGAGCGGTATTAAAATCGAATATCTTCGACACAGCGAGCGGACAAAGATGATCTGGATCGCATATTCACGATCTGTGGATCGGGATGAGGGAGGGTCGAAATCGTGTATTCACGACTCGAGGGCGGACTAGGGAAACTACGGATCGCGCATTCACGATCGGCGGAATGCGGGATCACGAAGTCGCGTATCCACGACTCGATGTGCGGACTAAGG